GATTGTTATTATTTTTGTTGTTATTATTATTATTATTATTTTTTTATTGCTTGCTTGCAATTGTTCTTGTCTTGCTTTCAGGTACATTCTTAGCAATTTTAGGTTTCTCAATTATCTCCTCTATGGTTGGAGACACAAAGTCAAGTATTGGCGCTTTGGTGGCCATAATTTCTGAACCCTTGATCTCTTCCTTCGATTCCACTAGGGTCTTAGATGACACTGAGCTTTGAGCAGAGTCATCTCCTTTGTGCACGAGTGCACTTTTGGAAATGGTTCTTCTTAAAACTGGGAATTCTTGTTCGTAATTCAGCGGTTTGACCTTCATAACTATTGGTGTTTCCTCCGCTGGTTCCTGAGCATAGATCTTTGGATTTCTTCCGGCCTTGCAGTCTAAACTACAATACCACTTCTCGTTTTTAGACATATAACCTGAAACCTTTGGGAATTCCTTAAGGCATCCATAACATTGTGCATGCGTTTCCCATCTGGGCAACTCATCATTAAGGTCAATGACTTCTGACATCAGATCTCTATCTTCGACGTTTGTCTTAGCTGAAACCACTGACTTTGTAATTCGCACCCAGTCATTAAATGGTATTATATCTAAACAATCTTGGTCCGAACAGCGATATTTCCTAGCTCTACCACAAACGCCACCATTACTGTCCAATTCTCCACATGAGTAATATTCTGATCCACAACCACATTCTACCATCCATCTTGCATCTTTGCCACACGGACACTCGCTGGTAATTGATTGAATTTCTACAATTTGTTGCTTCTTGGCAGCTTCCATCATTTTCCTAGTTTGTCTCTCCTTTCCCTCCTTGTATTTCCTCAAAAATTCAGGCGTTTGGTCAATATCAAACCAAAATAATTTTGTGATCTTTGCTTCCTTAGGCGTGTTTCCGAAGCCTTTGGCTAACGAGACTTCTACTTTCCTATGCTCGTGAGGTTTTTCATTCTCATAACGCTTCGATAAGAAGGCATTAAACATTTGCGATTGAGTCATTAGGTTGCGGGGTTCGTCACCAAAATATTTACGATCCTTATCTTCGCTATATAATTTCCTTAACGTTTTGGTCTCGTAGACTCTATCATCTTTAGACAAGTCGGCAAGATTTTCTTCAACATGATTTATTGATTTACCGAAATGTACCTTTACGTTGACGTTCAGGGCTACGTCTTCTACCAATTTGCCATAAATGATATCGTCGTGATACACCACCATACCCTCAAAAAGTGAGTAAGCGATGTTACGCTCTTGTCTTTTAGTGGAATTCGACAATCTCTTTAGAGTTCTAACCAAAGCATTCCAAAGACACGCCTTCTCTCCAACATACTCCTTGAAGTGTTCCAGAGTAAATATCAATCCGTCATACCTCAACTTACCCATTTTCCTTAACTCTGCCCGGCTTTCTGCCGTCAACTCTGGGTGTCCTGTTAACGACTTAATTAGGTCTTGATGGAGATTGGGATCGAAAGTGCCGTCTATCGGCTTATGTAAGCTTGATGTGCCAGGGTCGTGCCTTTTCTGTTTTTGCTTATTCGCATTGAGAACACTCGCCTGAACCTCGCGTTGATTATATGCTTTCCTTCGGTTTTCCTCATCCAACTTCTTATCTTCTTTAACGACGTCGTACACTGAGTGCACGCCATTAAATATAACGTGTTTCCTCCCGACATCATCAGTGAATTCTAATCGCTCTCCCACCTTAATCTTGTCAGTGGAAACTTCTCTATATTCATTAGTTGGCAGTGTTGGGGTCCTTAATTTCCTTCCCTTTGGTTTTTGTTGCCCAGGGTGTTGGGCTAAGGTAACACTTTGGGGTCCGGAAACTTTTGATTCCCAACTACCACTCCCTTTAGACACGAACTTGTCTAAGGATTCTGCTTGTTCCAAATAATCTTCTACCTTCACAGTTGGCTCCTCAATGCGGTGTCCATCTAAGAAAATCTCCCAAGCGCCATCAAACATGTCTTCAGGTGTATGCCTGGGCTTCACTTTAATACGGTCAAAGTGTTCCATTTCCATTTGGTTGATACAAATATCTTTAGAAGTGATTTCGGAAACCATCTTCTGTATGCGCGACCCAAATGGAAATTGTAAATATAAGAAATTCCTAGCCCTTGTACATCCGGAATAGAAGTATTCAACCCCTTTCTGAAACGGCTTCCAATGCCACGCGTTTTTACCTTCATAGTGGACGAACCACACAACGTCAGCTTCCATACCCTGAAAAGAGTGCACTTTGAATTTGCGACTGGGGTGGACATGGGAATAGTGCTTCTCTTCTAAATTGCGCTTGTTTATAGCTAATAGGATTTTGTCCATTTTCCCCTCAGTTTCCACTAACTCAGATGCAAATGTATCGCCAGGTTTATCATTATCCATTACGACCTTAATAGTGTCACTCATATCAGTTACCTCTCCTTCTTTCATATCTTCAGTTCTAGCTGCTATTGATTCGGTACCAAATACTAGATTGTTAAAAGCTACTATGGAGCTTAAGCTTCTAAAATTCATACACATAGAAATGTTGATGTTGCTCTCGATATTTCCACGTTGGTAGGTTGCATCCTTGGTAGAGAAATTCTTCCACGTGACTTGTTTCGAGTCTCCTACAAACCAGATAATACCCATATGTCTTATGTATTTGACCATCTGCAGAAATCCGAAAGGCATCATCTTGTATTCCTCTACATAGATGTTGCGAACATCATAGTCTCCAAAATTAGCCATCAAGCTCTGGAACGTAGTGACTGTGATCTTAAGCCCCTTTTCGTGTGCAAAATTTGCATAACGACGGACCTGTAGTGATGTAGCTACAATTACCATATCTCCGTTCTTCAAATGTGTTTGGATCAACGTTGTTTTTCCGCTAGCGGCATCTGCGTCAATAACGCCTTGAAAAGTGGGAACATGATACATTCTTCGGGCAGCACAATCAATTCCATACTTATTTCCATCATATCTCCTATATATATCTAGGGACCTGAAAGCCAAAATACATAGACCACATGCATGTTTCTGTTTAATACCCGCATCATATTCTCTCTTTTGGACACAGGTAGACAAATGTTTCCGACAATCATCTACGTAGATTTGTATCCACTGAACGCAACTGTCTTCCAACTTAGCGTAGGGATATGGGTGTCGCTCTGGTAAAACACTTAGAGCAGCATATTTATTCACTCGCACTTTGTAAATCTTCTTCCCTTCCTTGTTGGTATACAGGTACTTGGGTTCTCTCGCAAATGAGAAGGACTCTCTACTAGTTACTAGATGATCCCTGTATTCTAACACGGACTGTGGTACATATTTTGCGTAGTCTACTGGTTCTTCGCCTAGATTCTTATAGATCTCAAACATAAAAGGATCTTCTTTATCTACCACACACCTAACCCCAGATGTTTCAGGTAGCTTGCTCTTGGTTTGTTTCTCAATTTCCTCAACTCCTTGCTTCTCAGTCTCTATCAATGTTTGCACCTTAACTTCGACATCGACAGGTAAAGCTTCCGGAACATAATCTAGATGGCCAAGACAAAGCCGGGATTGGATATGTTCTTCGCGATCTTTTACATCTTTGAATTCGTAGTTACAAGATTGACAAATCTTAAAATTAACCGCTAACCCACCAGTGAAAACGCCTACATTATCTATAGTGAAATTGTCTCCACTATCCCCTGAACTGGTTGACGAACTGAAATCAATAAGTTTTTGCCCAGGGTGTTGGGCTAAGGTACTCTCATCAGTCGTCTTTCGATCAGAAGAAATGGAAATACCACTATCACCATTGTCCAATATGCTTTCCTCCTCAACAGATCCTCCAACCCTGAGATCCTTATCCATCGTGAGAAATTCCTTAATTTCCATAGTCGTTGTTTGCTTATCAATGGGTTGTTCAAGTAGGTGTACAGAGGTGATAATATACTTTCCTTTTACGTGACTCATTTTATTTATTTGTACATGCACTTTTTCCTTAACCAACACATCAATTGAACTTCTATAATATACGAAGTCTTCTAATTCAGCAACTGTTGGCCACTTTCCGAGCTCCTTAATGATATCCCATGTGGGATGTTTAAAGATCCTAGTATAACAATATCCGGCGGTGCCTAATCTGCGATTCAATCGCTGAGTTTCGTTGAGCTCCTGGAACCTTTTCTTCCTTTCTTTACGTTTGGTTTTAAAATCGCTGTCCACCTGGCTAGAAACCTTAGAACTTTCTTGTTGCCCAGGGTGTTGGGCTTTTCGAACCTTATTCTTTGGTTTCTTACCTGGTACTACGACCTTATAGCTTACACCACCATATCGGTACTGTCTACACAATACTGACTTTGGCTTCCTCTGCTTCTTGACTTCCACGCGGATGAATTCCTCTTCACTCTCGTAGCCACTTTCAACGGACGAATCGCTTTCTATTTTAATACTACCACCACCCACTCTCCTATATGGAAAGCAGTGATATTTCTTCAATTGCTTACCCCCTGATGGTTTGAATGTTTTAGCACTTGTTTCTCCCTTATTGTTGTATACATCACATAAGTATGTAGCGTACAACGACTCAGCCTTCCTTTGGTTGTCTAAGCGGTGGAAGTAATCCGGTTCTGATTCTTCCTGGTGCCAAAGTGGAGAAGACCAAGGGCTGTTGTTAGTCTCACTAGGTGGGGTGTATTCTTTCCTCATCCCGTCCTTAATCGGTAAACGTCCTCTTGGTAACTCAAGATCTTGATCAAAGGGCATACTTTGTGTTGAGCAAGCTGCAGGAAAACGGACGTGTTGCCCAGTAGCTAAATTTCCCCAATGTTGCATAGCACCAGCAACATACAATTTTCTACGTCCGTCCAAAGTGGGATGTACACTTGGTAAATCCAACTTAGGGACACCTTCCTCTCTCCAAATATTACGTTTAGCGTTACCTTCGAGAGTATCCATCCCCCTGTAGCAACCGTACTCAACCTCGTATTTATTATAACCTTGCATGAATTTAGTTCTCACTCTATCTACAACACTTCCATCATTTCGCACATGTTCAAAAGTGCCAGTGTTGATGAGAAAAGTGGACATTGGTGAAATTGTTCGTTCCTTTCCTAACAAACCTCCGGCTTTGAAACTCCAATATTTAGACACAAATACAGACATATCCATCTCTGTGCCCATCATTGGCATTTGGGGAGAAAATAAATGGACTCTCGATGCCTTTTCTTTGTCCTCTTCTCTGTTCTCCTTAAATACAACGGTTTTAGCCATTCTAACCTTGTTTGTTTGACAAAACTCAAAAATTTTTCCTACAGTGGGCCAACTACCCAAGACGGCATAAGCTCTGGGTTCCTCAAGCATTAGTGTCCAACACCAACCCCACACTGTGTCAAAATTGGTCCTATAACTCAAGTCTATGTTTTTGCAATTTTGAACTATGCGACCGTTGTTAGCACTTCCATATTTTTCGTTATATTCATCTCTACCAAAATAGTCCTCTAGCTCATTGTTGGAGTGTTTCTTCCTTGAGTCTAGTTTGATACCACCGCCCACGACTTGTCCTACTGTCAAAGTTTGATATTCGGGCCGTTGGGCATACTCCCTACGACTTTGTTCATATTCCAATTCTAAGAGTTGATTTTCTTCCTCTTCTTCTTCTATTTTCTTTTTATTTCCTTCTTCATCTAGTCGTTGTCTTTTACCAGTGTATGCTTCAAACAAATTTAAGTTTGAGGGGTTTA